GGTAGGCTGTTGTTGGTGCTGTTGTTGGTGCTGTTGTTAGTGCTGTTCTTAGTGCTGTTTCTAGTGGTTTGTTTAGGTTACTGGAAGTTGTTAAGCAGTAATAGTGAAATGCGCACGTTTCGCTCAGCATAACTACTCAAAATGTTTCGCTCAGCATAGCTACTCAAAACGTTTCGCTCAGCATAGCTACTCAAAACGTTTCGCTCAGCATAGCTACTCAAAACGTTTCGCTCAGCATAGCTACTCAAAACGTTTCGCTCAGCATAGCTACTCAGAACATTTCGCTGAGTACAGCCGCATCTAAACGTTTCGCTCGGTATAACCGCATTAAAACGAACTATTCCAAACACGTATGGAACGACCCACGGAACTTACAAGGCCTAATGGTCATTAGAGATGGCTAAATTAAGTCATTACGACTATATAGCACTTGGAACGACCCGTCCTCGGAACGAGTCAATTCCATCCAGCGGTCGACCCCCCAAAGACGCATTCATAAATTTTAACATGCTGTGCATTCAAAATGAGAATTTTCTCAAATATAAAATTAATATTATAATATATTAGCATATTGTGCATATATTGGCATGGGTTAGGTTAGGTTCTGTTGGCGATTATTTGTATTTGTAGTACGTGGGTGAAGCATTTACAGCGTTGTGGTTCGAACAGAATTCGTCAGTGAAGCACTTGTTCCGGAAGTGTTCGAACGTCAGCAGTTGTGAGTCGTGTGTGTTCCGTTTTGCGTTCATAAACAGCTGGGGGTTTAGCGGGTGGATGGAATGGACTTTGGGTCTTCGTTTAGAGGACGTGCTGCTTGGAACAGTCTGGGGGGATTGAACTCCGACCACTACTACTGTCCAAAGTGGTAGACTTACAAGAACTATACGAAGCAAAGACAGCTTCGGGAATGGGTGTGGTTCAAGAGTCGAGTTCATAATGAAATATAAATTACATTTTTCCGAGGCGGCTTCCTCTCGGGTGAGTACGGCCCCGACTTGGTTATCTTGTAATGTGTTATCTTGGAATGTGATATCTTGTAATGTGTTATCTTGTAATATGATATCTTGTAATGTGTTATCTTGGAACATGATATCTTGTAATGTGTTATCTTGGAATGTGATATCTTGTAATGTGTTATCTTGTAATATGATATCTTGTAATGTGTTATCTTGGAATGTGTTGCATAGTGGCCGGGCTCCCTGAAGGAGGCAATAGTGTCTTCATTTAACACTCTCCTCGTTCTTCTGTTGCTCCGTGTGTGTGGGGGGGGGGGTAGTTATGGTGGTTATAGTGGTGGTTATAGTGGTGGTTATAGTGGTGAGGATAGCTGCTTGTACTGTGTGGTTGTCGCTGCAGTGTGATGATGGTGAGGACCAACAACATTCACCATATTCAGTGATGGTGACTATTAAATAAGTTATAAGAACAGACAGGAATGCAAACAGTCGATTCATCAATCCCCAAAGTTGTTTAATTAAATACAACGGTTGAAGATTTTGTTTGGTTTAGTAAACAATACAGCATTCACGAAAGTACGTCGAAGCTGTCAATTAGCTGTTGCTGTTAAGCTAAAGCTTTGGTTGAAGTTTTAACATTGCAAATCCACGCCTCCAAATCCACTGGAGGCGGTGGATTTGGAGCCTGTCTACCCAACCGGTTTTTGAAGGTCGGTCACTATGGGACAGTACTCGCCTAGTTGTGCTTGCGGGGGTTGAGCTTTGTCTCTTTGGTCCCGCCTCTCAACTGTCAATCAACTGGTGTACAGGTTCCTGAGCCTACTAGGCTCTATCATATCTACATTTGAAACTGTGTATGGAGTCAGCCAACGGATTCTCTCTCTCTCTCTCTCTCTCTCTCTCTCTCTCTCTCTCTCTCTCTCTCTCTCTCTCTCTCTCTCTCTCTCTCTCTCTCTCTCTCTCTCTCTCTCAAAAAGGATAATTACGCGTTAAACAGTGTATAGATAATTCCACCAGCAAGCTTCTCAACACACGGATTTTAACAACAATTAAACGCATAAACAAGTGAATAACCTTCAGCAACTGGCAGTGAATGATGTATTTGATCTAGCGAGCAATTGTATTTGATTTGCATAAAGAACTAATTCATCGTTGATGGGAAGAATGGGGCGTGATATGTGGGCGTGTCCGCGTGTGTATGTGATGTGTGCGTCATTGATTCATATATGCTTGTATAATAGGGCGGGGAGGGACGTACATGTGTGTATTCACCTAGTTGTATTCATCTAGTTGTATTCACCTAGTTGTGCTTGCGGGGGTTGAACTCTGCTCTTTCGGGCCGCCTCTCAACTGTCAATCAACTGTTTCTACTACTACTTTTTTTTCTACACCACACACACACACACACACCGCAGGAAGCAGCCCGTGATAGCTGTCTAACTCCCAGGTACCTATTTACTGCTAGGTAACAGGGGCATAGGGTGAAAGAAACTCTGCCCATCGTTTCTCTCCGGCGCCCGGGATCGAACCCGGGACTACAGGATTACGTGTCCAGCTTGCTGTCCGCTCGGCCGGCCGGCCCCGTGAGTTGTGTGTATGTGTACTCACCTAGTTGTGTTTGCGGGGGTTGAGCTCTGGCTCTTTGGTCCCGCCTCTCAACCGTCAATCAACTGGTGTACAGGTTCCTGAGCCTATTGGGCTCAATCATATCTACACTTGAAGCTGTGTATGGAGTCAGCCTCCACCACATCACTTCCTAATGCATTCCATTTGTTAACCACTCTGACACTGAAAAAGTTCCTTCTAACGTCTCTGTGGCTCGTGTGTGTGTGTGTGTGTGTGTGTGTGTGTGTGTGTGTGTGTGTGTGTGTGTGTGTGTGTGTGTGTGTTTACTGGTGAGAAAATCCACCATAAAATCAGTACACAAGATTATCAAAGGCGAGAATGCTAGTCACATATAATGTTAACTTTCACATTTTCACCAAGGCCCCTTTGCAAATATACTCTGGCTTGATCAGTCCTCACTGCAATTTATTGAACACACACACACATATAATATTCCTGGTTGGAATTTGATTAATTTATGAACATAATCAACACGTTTTGCATAAAAATTGGTCATTGATTTGATTTGTTTCAGTATTTACATTAATTGGTAAACTAGGAAGTGGTTAAAAAAAAGAAACTTTTATGCTTTTAAAATAATATTTCTGAAAGAAAAACTCTAATATTGCATTATATATTTAGATATTTAATGTTTAATATTACTGATCAACGGTATTTAAGCTCAATGGGACAGATGCTTGTTATTATCGAATCAGGATATGTGTCTTCTTTCGTCAGATGTGTCCACATGTGTCCACATGTGTACATGTGTCCAGATGTGTACATGTCACTGGTCACCCAACAGGAAATATTTTTCATTTCTTAAAGGAATAGTCTCTCTGGCAGTTATATCTGACTTTGTGTCTGGGGGTCTGATTGTCTGGGGGTCTGATTGTCTGGGGGTCTGATTGTCTGGGGGGTCTGATTGTCTGGGGGTCTGATTGGCTGGGGGGGTCTGATTGGCTGGGGGTCTGATTGGCTGGGGGGGTCTGATTGGCTGGGGGGTCTGATTGGCTGGGGGGTCTGATTGGCTGGGGGTCTGATTGGCTGGGGGTTTGATTGTCTGGGGGGTCTGATTGTCTGGGGGGTCTGATTGTCTGGGGGGTCTGATTGTCTGGGGGGTCTGATTGTCTGGGGGGTCTGATTGTCTGGGGGGTCTGATTGTCTGGGGGGGTCTGATTGGCTGGGGGGTCTGATTGGCTGGGGGGGTCTGATTGGCTGGGGGGTCTGATTGGCTGGGGGGTCTGATTGGCTGGGGGGTCTGATTGGCTGGGGGTCTGATTGGCTGGGGGTTTTATTGTCTGGGGGGTCTGATTGGCTGGGGGGTCTGATTGGCTGGGGGTCTGATTGTCTGGGGGGTCTGATTGTCTGGGGGGTCTGATTGGCTGGGGGTCTGATTGTCTGGGGGCTCTGATTGGCTGGGGGTTTGATTGTCTGGGGGGTCTGATTGTCTGGGGGGTTTGATTGGCTGGGGGGTCTGATTGTCTGGGGGTCTGATTGTCTGGGGGTCTGATTGTCTGGGGGCTCTGATTGTCTGGGGGTCTGATTGTCTGGGGGTCTGATTGTCTGGGGGCTCTGATTGTCTGGGGGGTCTGATTGTCTGGGGGGTCTGATTGTCTGGGGGGGTCTGATTGGCTGGGGGTCTGATTGTCTGGGGGTCTGATTGTCTGGGGGTCTGATTGGCTGGGGGTCTGATTGTCTGGGGGTTTGATTGGCTGGGGGGTCTGATTGGCTGGGGGGTCTGATTGTCTGGGGGTCTGAGAGCCTGGGGATCTGATAGTCTGGGGGGATTATAGCTTAAGAGTTTGTAAGTCTGATAGTCTCGAAGTCACTGATTACATCACTGCCTCTTGAGAGAGGAAGGAGACCGTGTCTGTTCACGTTGGGCGGTGGAGTAAGACGCGACAGTTTTGGCGGGAAATGCTTGCGACAAATGGGGGTAACTCTTGTAGTGACTTTACATGTTTATTGACAGTCAGAAAGCAGAGAGACAGAGGAGCGGCGTGATGTACGGGCAACTGAAGGACAGCTCTGAACTGTCACAAGGTTGACGGGTAGTTTGTGGTGTCAGTGACTTAATTCCCGTCCCTTTCGTCTCAGAAATTGAAATTGAAATACGTTTATTGAGGTAAAATACACACAAAGGGAGGAGGTAGCTCAAGCTATTCTTTCGTCTCAGAAGAAACAAGAGAATGATGTAGATCAGGCTATAGGATCTCAGTAACTGAATTGAAGGAGTTGTTACACCGTAATTCATATGATTGGTGACAGGTAGCCTGTGTTGATATGTATGTGGGGGCTTTTAGCGTACATATATACGTTATTCATATATTTTAACATAATTCGAAGTCTCCTCCAAGGACAAACTACTGACCCTTTCCAAGATGCATCACACAACAAGGTGAGTATTTGCTGCTAGGTGAACAGAGGCATCAGGTGATGGGAAACGTGCCTAGACATGTCTCTCCCGGTCGTGACTCGAGCTACAGATGTTGTGTTTTGTCTCAGCAAGAGACGCAGCCTCGCCCACGCAAGGGACGCAACCTCGCCCACGCAAGAGACGCAGCCTCGCCCCACGCAAGGGACGCAGCCTCGCCCACGCAAGGGACGCAGCCTCGCCCACGCAAGGGACGCAGCCTCGCCCACGCAAAGGGACGCAGCCTCGCCCACGCAAGGGACGCAGCCTCGCCCACGCAAAGGGACGCAGCCTCGCCCACGCAAAGGGACGCAGCCTCGCCCACGCAAAGGGACTCAGCCTCACCCACGCAAAGGGACGCAGCCTCGCCCACGCAAAGGGACGCAGCCTCGCCCACGCAAAGGGACGCAGCCTCGCCCACGCAAGGGACGCAGCCTCGCCCACGCAAAGGGACGCAGCCTCGCCCACGCAAAGGGACGCAGCCTCGCCCACGCAAAGGGACGCAGCCTCGCCCACGCAAGGGACGCAGTCTCGCCCACGCAAGGGACGCAGCCTCGCCCACGCAAGGGACGCAGCCTCGCCCACGCAAGGGACGCGAAACCGAACGTAGCAAACACAGTAATGGGAGGAAAATCGAAATTGAATTCAAAAGAAAGCTGTTTCCTCCTCCTTTGGACGATGAGCGCGAAATTTAAATTTTGCCGCCATGTTGGTCAAGTGTAACGGATCCCCAACTAAAAAAAAATGAATTTTGTTTTATCAAAATGTCTTCTGTCCCTGAGGAAGTAATATGGCATAAAATAATTCTAATTCTAAATTAAAGTGTGATACATTAGTGAGGGGGCTATCAATCGTGGCGCGCACGGTACGATAAACTCTACCAAGCGAGGCTTTACGCAACATTGGTTCCAGACGTATGATTCCAGACCTGCTGGTGGGGCGGGGAAATTACCCGGTAAATCCTCACGAAAATTCCCCTCACCGAAACTCGCATGTTTTTCGATCTGAATTTTTAATGTATGAATATTTGTTTTTTTTTCCTCTTTGTTTGCTTTCTCAAGTTACAAAAATATATAACAATACATTATTATAATATATTCCTGGACACACACACATGGACGGGTCAACATCAGTAGCAGATGCAACGTCTACAGAGCTGGTCGACATTTGTAGTGTAGTCTTCACTATACTTGTCATAGATCAGTGCTAGCATATGCCCTCCCTCAGTGAGGGACTCCTACGTAGGAAAACACGCAGCACAGGTAGAGGAGTTGAGAGAGAGTACCGAAACGATTGGACCCTGAACTTAGACGAGAGAGACTGTGGGAACTGGTCCACAGCAGCATACAGGAGGATGCTGAAGGCCATACAACAGCATGCTGAAGGCCACACAGCAGCATACAACAGCATGCTGAAGGCAACACAGCAGCATACAACAGCATGCTGAAGGCCACACAGCAGCATACAACAGCATGCTGAAGGCAACACAGCAGCATACAACAGCATGCTGAAGGCAACACAGCAGCATACAACAGCATGCTGAAGGCCACACAGCAGCATACAACAGCATGCTGAAGGCAACACAGCAGCATACAACAGCATGCTGAAGGCAACACAGCAGCATACAACAGCATGCTGAAGGCCATACAACAGCATGCTGAAGGCCACACAGCAGCATACAACAGCATGCTGAAGGCCACACAGCAGCATACAACAGCATGCTGAAGGCCACACAGCAGCATACAACAGCATGCTGAAGGCCACACAGCAGCATACAACAGCATGCTGAAGGCCACACAGCAGCATACAACAGCATGCTGAAGGCCACACAGCAGCATACAACAGCATAACACACACTACGACCCGAATGTCCAAATTTGCATATTACTGGCCCCGAGTGAGGCGGGAGTCAGGCTGATGGCATCCTCAAGAATGGTATAATTGCAGAATACATCTTTAGAGTCGCGTGCGTGTGTGTGCGTGTGTGTGTACGTGCGTGCGTGTGTGTGTGTGTGTGTGTGTGTGTGTGTGTGTGTGTGTGTGTGTGTGTGTGTGTGTGTGTGTGTGTTCTCTCTCTCTCTGGGTCAGGGGTGTTAGACTTTCTCAGCTATAAAAGGCTAGAATTGGCTTAGGAGGCAAGAGATAGCCCCCTCTCTAAAGGCTATATATATTCAGACTTAACCTCTCGGTACATTGACTTACTGTATACGCTCTTGGGAGTCGGGGGGGGGGGCGCTGCGCCCCCCTGTTGGACTTGGCATTTCCAAGTCTCACGAAAATATTCTTTCCTCCATTATATACGTTATATACCCAAGTTGCAACACTTTTCCCGCACTTAAACTAACTTGTTAAGGTCTTTTTCCCCCCTTTCCCTAAATCCCAGCCACTTATTTTATAGCTGGGTGAACAGGCGCATCAGGGGGGGAAAAGGACACTTGCCCAACTGCCTTTGCCCTTCAAGGGTATTAAACCCACGTCTCTCAGTAGTGAGCCAAGGAACTTAGCTTAGCCGCAACGGGGAATTAACCAATAATATTATTGGTTAATTATTGGCTAAATCTCGAAGATAATTGAATGACACGACGGAACGTTTTGGCAGGATTATATCAAGGGAACAGAACAAGGAACGTGGCAGGAAAACAAGGAACGTGACAGCTAAACAAGGAACGTAACAGCAAAACAAGGAACGTGACAGCAAAACAAGGAACGTGGGAACAAAACAAGGAACGTGGGAACAAAACAAGGAACGTGACAGCAAAACAAGGAACGTGACAGGAAAACAAGGAACGTGACAGTAAAACAAGGAACGTGACAGGAAAACAAGGAACGTGACAGTAAAACAAGGAACGTGACAGCAAAACAAGGAACGTGGCAACAAAGCAAGGAACGTAACAGCAAAACAAGGAACGTGACAGCAAAACAAGGAACGTGGCAACAAAGCAAGGAACGTGACAGCAAAACAAGGAACGTGACAGCAAAACAAGGAACGTTACAGTAAAACAAGGAACGAGGCAGCAAAACAAGGAACGTGACAGCAAAACAAGGAACGTGACAGCAAAACAAGGAACGTGACAGCAAAACAAGGAACGTGACAACAAAACAAGGAACGTGACAGCAAAACAAGGAACGTGACAGCAAAACAAGGAACGTGACAGCAAAACAAGGAACGTGACAGCAAAACAAGGAACGTGACAGCAAAACAAGGAACGTGACAGTAAAACAAGGAACGTGACAGCAAAACAAGGAACGTGGCAACAAAACAAGGAACGTGACAGCAAAACAAGGAACGTGACAGCAAAACAAGGAACGTGACAGCAAAACAAGGAACGTGACAGCAAAACAAGGAACGTGACAGCAAAACAAGGAACGTGACAGTAAAACAAGGAACGTGACAGCAAAACAAGGAACGTGACAGCAAAACAAGGAACGTGACAGCAAAACAAGGAACGTGACAGTAAAACAAGGAACGTGACAGTAAAACAAGGAACGTGACAGCAAAACAAGGAACGTGACAGTAAAACAAGGAACGAGGCAGCAAAACAGAGTGAAAGTGTCAGTTGAACAAAGTGTGGCGCGAGGCTGCGACCAACGACATAATTCCCAGCTTAATTGAAGCTTGTACTCTGCACTCTCCCTTTAATTGTTACAATTAGGATGACAAACGTATGGCTAATGGGGGGTGGGGGGGGGGTGGTAATGGGGGAGGAAAGTGAGCCTAGTGCTGGGTTCCAAACCTGGCCCCAGGGGAGATTGACTGGGCACCGGTTCTTCTTCCAGTTCGTCCCCAGTTCACTCAGCAGTAATTTGGGGGGGATTTGGTTGTAAACCTATTGGAAGGTCTTGTTCCAGGGAAGGGATAGAGGGAGGGGGAAGAAGCCTCCATCCCCAGGAAGCAGCCCGTAACAGCTGTCTAACTCCCAGGTACCTATTTACTACTAGGTAACAGGAGCATCAGCGTGAAAGAAATACTGCCCATTTTGTTTGTCATCACCGGGGATCGAACCCGGACCCTAGGATTACGAGTCCAGAGCGCTGTCCACTCTATCATGCCCCCCTTGCCTGATATGTGTGTGTGTGTGTGTGTGTGTGTGTGTGTGTGTGTGTGTGTGTGTGTATGTGTATGTGTATGTGTGTGTGTGTGTGTGTGTGTGTGTGTGTGTGTGTGTGCGCGCGCGCGCGCTCACCTATCAGTCCTTGTCTGTCGGTACCAGAAAGTGAGGTCTATAAGTCTATGTACCAGCCTTGTTTTCTGGAACCTATTGCTTTATAATTTAACTATTCTGGCGTTTGAAGTCTTTGTCGAATCTGGTCCTTAGAGTATCTATAAATCCATCAATGTTTGTATCGCACCTTGTATGTGTGTACTTTACCTGAATAAACATTTGATTTGATTTTGAGTGTGGATGGAGGTGGCTTCTACACCTTCTTCCATTGTATTCCACCAGCCGTGCAGGGTACGAGTATTTCCTTATATTTCCTGGACTCATTTGTGTTTCAGGCTTTCATTTATGTCCTCTCTTCCTACTGTCTCTCAATTTAAAGAGGTTTTTCTTACCTATCTTTCTCATTCTCTACATTGCCTTGTGTTATGATCGTATCTCATTGTTTTTTCTGTCCTTCTGGGCCGTGAAACATAGTCCCTTAGACTGGAGGGTAGAGCGACGGTTTCGCTTCATGCAGGTCGGGGCTCAATCCCCGATCATCCAAGTGGTTGGGTACCATTCCTTTCCCCCCCTCCCCCGTCCCATCCCTGACCCCCTTCCCAGTGCTATATAATCTTAATGGCTTAGCGGTTTTTCCCTGATAATTGCCTTGCCTTAACATATAATAGCTTAACCATCTTAGTTATAGCATAATCCTGGAGTATGCAGTTCCAGCCTGGAGTCCGTAACTAGTTAAACACAAGACAAAGTTAGAGAAGATTCAAAGGTATGCCACCAGACTAGTTTCAGAGCTGAGAGGTATGAGTTATGAGGAAAGGCTACGGGAATTAAACCATACGTACTTAGAAAACAGAAAAGTTAGGGGAGACATCATCACCACCTATAAAATTCTCAGAGGAATTTGTCTTTGGGTGGACAAAGACAAACTATTTAGCACGGGAGGAACACGAACAAGTGGGACACAGGTGCAAATTTTTGTACCCAAATGAGCCACAGACACATTAGAAAGCTGTTGACCAAACCACACACTAGAAAGTGAAGGGACAACTACGTTTTGTGTCGCGACTTGAGAATGGTCCAGGACGGACCGAAACGTCGTCGTCCCTTCACTTTCTAGTGTGTGGTCTGGTCAATATATTTCAGCCACGTTATTGTGACTCCTCGTCTGCATTAGAAAGCCTTTTAGGTGTTAAGAGTATTTAACAAATGGAACGCATTAGGAAGTGATGTTGTGGAGGCAGACTTCATACACAGCTTGAAAAGTAGATATGATAGAGCCCAATAGGCTCAGGAACCTGTACACCAGATGATTGACAGTTAAAAGGCGGGACCGGGTTAGGTTTGGTAACCTAACCTAATCTAAACTCGAAGCTCAATACCCGAAAACACAACTAGGTGAGTACAACTAGGCGAGTACTAATCTTGTTACAAACCTTTGTACTTTTTCAATTTTGGCTGCGGATTGGAGGCCAGCGCTGAGCACGCCAGTGTAAGCCTATCAAAGGCTGTATGTTGATTTCAGAAATGCTTAT